AAAAAAAAAAAAAAAAGAAAATCACTGTACTTTCGATAAAACTCGTTGTGAAAGTGATAAAAAGTTTTTACACGACGGAATAGTACCAAATTATCGTTCACTTTTATAATTTTATTTTATTTTTTTCTCTCGGCATATCTCTATATTTAATTGGTTTCGCAGCAATTTTCTTTTTGTTTTTAATAGCTCTTGATAACCACGTACTTAAAACAATTATATTGCCTTATTATCAGGTGTAATTTTTAATGGAAACATCTAAATTTGAAAAAGATTGGGGATGGGTGTTTTGTTGTTGAACAATCGAACGTTTGCAACCGCTGTTTCTCGGAAAAGGGGCTTGTCTCAGCAAAATACGCACATAATCGAGACGAGGGTGGAAGGATAAAGAGGGAGCGTGCATGTATAGCCGTCCTCCTGTGTAGTGAGTGACGCGCCATTCATACAACAGAAGCCTCCCTTCGACCCCTCACCGAAATAACATTTTCAGATGCTCCCCATTCGCTCTTTTTTGCTTACCCGCGTTTATTTAACTCGCATCACCTCTCTACAACAATCACTTCATGAATGACTCCATGTCGGTCGTGAAGAGGGAAGCCAAGCCATTCATTTATCGATATTAAAATAAAACGGGGGAAGGAGTTGAGTACAATGTTAACTGGTGCAATAACCAACCAAACGATATGATGACTAATTATAATTTGTTACTGTAATTTCGTCATTGCATGTAGACCAGTCGAATAAACCGGACCGTTTACTGATTTACCGGTTAAAATAGTTATTCATTGGGAAACATAATCGTATAATTTTTCGAATGTATGGAAACGATTAGTATATACCAAATCGGGCAAACCAGTTTTCAAAATCGTGTCGCAAGAACGCATAGTATAGCAGTACAATAAGAGTATTGGAAAAAATAAAATTCAACACGATAAACGTCATTTTCTACGCGCTTAATGATTCTGTTTTGTACATTGTTCGATAAAACTGTTTTCCACAAACTATTACTTGTCAATTAATTGACGGCTTGATGATATCGTCAAAATATCTTCAAATTATGTGTACACCGCACGCTATATTGAGATTCAGGTTTTTGTAAGATGTTGAGTACTTTTTTTTTCACTTTTAATTTGACTCGAGCTAAAGTTGGAGAGTTGGCATGGCAATCGAAACAAATGTCAATTTGAGTTGCGGTGAGTTGAAAATGGCTTGGCACAAAAATCACACTCCCCTCGACCATCGAGAAAAATACCGAAAATTGTCGTTCCCTAACTACAAGCGAAATTGCATATAGTCATCTTGCACTGCCAATTTTATTCTTCGCATATACATTTCCTACTGGGTTTAAAATAAATTATGTGCCAGAGCGCAAACCAAACACTCGACCTTATAGCTTGAAAGTAACGATCATCAACGTAACGGAGAATTATCACGAAGATTCCAAATTTAATGTTCCGTTCTAAAATTGTATGTATACCGATTAGTCGACGTGTGCCGATGATGATTGTGAGAAAGAAAGTCATCAAGGCCAAAGATGAATATTATATACAAGCGAGATTACCACTATACCTGAACACTGAAAAAAAAACTCGAGATAATCGCGAGTCTTCATTTTCAAACGATGCATGAAGAGTTTTAATCTACAATTCGCATATTTGTTTACAATTCGTAGGTGGAAAATTCAAAAGAAAAATAACACAAGCTGCATTTATGAAGTTAAACTTTTTTTTCTCGAGCGAGATGATTGTAATTCCTATCAGTTACGTGTACAAAAAAAAAAGAAAAAAAAAGCACTAGGCCACCCACCACCCACGCATGCACGCGAAATCCCGGAAGCTCCCTCGTGACCACTTGCCATTTTGCTCGTCACGAAATTAACAAGGTGTATAAAGTATACATAAGGTATTCAACGATATCTAGCGTATAATCATACTTAGTGGTTCGTGTTTTAAACTAGGATGCTATACTTACAAGATAAAAAACGTAACTGCATACACGTGACTTCGTGCGTGTGTAGGTATATTGTATGTAAACAGAAAACGGCAGACAGCGCAATGCCGCTGCAGTGTACATATTATTATATATACACGCGCTACTGCGGCGGAGCTGATGTAATGGCAACTGCATAACTATTGTACTTTTTTTTTTTTTTTTTTACTACTCAAAATTTTAGAAACTAAATCGAAAAATTTACTTTATGTCGAAAGATATTCTCTGTGAAAAAGTAAAAAAAAATAAAATAAAATCATTGTTTTCGTCATCGGAGGGCTATTGTAAAAAATTTTGGCCTCGCAGCCAAGTGGTTCTTTTTCCAAGACAGCCTTCACTCTAGAACTAGAAATAACCACGGACGGATGGAATACGGCAGCGAAAACTTTTGGCGAAAATAAACAGTTTGTTGCTCCTCACTGTGTCATAAACATTGAGAATAAATCGATTCTCTCATTGCCTATTTTAAACTTTGTATTTACGCCTGAAAAGCCATGCGCTTCTAATTACCACAAATTCTAACAGCGTCCGCACCTATACCGACGATTACTTGCGCCACGAAATAAACCAAACCGTGACTTTCTTTGATTCTCGAGGATATTTTGAATTTTACTTCGATCAAGTCTTACATGAAGTCACAAAAATTTAAAATACTTTAACACAATATTCCCAGTAATTTAGAAATGAATAATATATTACATATCACAGTATATCGACTAATGCAATGAATATTTTCTTTCATATTTTTTTTTAATATTGGGATTATTGTATTTTTGTTCCACTCAAAAGTTAATTTTAGTATAAAAAATAAAAAAATAAAAAAGTTATCAATTTGATTAGTCTCGATAAATTATGTGAGTTGATTCATATCATACCATGAGAGATTACAAATCAGTTGAAAAATCAAAAGATAATGCTTTACAAACAAAAATCCAGTGCTATACAATCTTTTGTTGTGGTCTTACGCTGTACAGGCATACTAATAATCGAGAGGCTACCCACGTGATTTAAGCGATTTAAATCACTGTTCCAGAGCTTTAAATCACAATTAAATCTTTAAATCATCTTTAAATCACAGTGAAAAAAAAAAATTTTGTTAAACATAATTATGTGTCACAGAAACCCTAAATGTTCGTAATTTGAAAGATAAATCCAACCACAGTCCGTAATTCAAACATAATCGGTAATGATTAGGAATGAATGTACGCAGAGCACACAGTCATGTTAGCATGCGATTCACCCATGCAAAACGCCTTATAATTCAAAATACTGTATGACTTCTTTTAAATGACACTATAATTTTGAGTTTCACTTTTGCATAAGTTGCAAATTATTCAACAATAAAACGGTGATTCATTACTAATGTAGATCACACTTTACTTGGTTACTTTAATATTTGAAAAAAAAACAATCTCTGCAAATTAAGTGTGGCTTTTTTCCACCATACTTACTTGTTGATACCTAAAAAAAATTAGCAAATAGTGTACCAAAAAAAACAAAATTGTTTCAAACAAGAATTCTTTTCGACAAACATTAATCTTTGAAAGTTGCGTATACCCTAAAATGTATACACGTCCATTTTTCGTGACTCTCTTTTCAAATACAGCAATGGTTTATCTTGCTTCTTGTTATTATAAGTGACTTCAAAGGAACATACTCAATAAGAAACTTGGCACATTATGTTTAAGAACCGAACGATTGAGAAGAAAAACTATTACTTTTCCTATCATTGGCAAAATTTTTTTTGTGATTTACATGGTTTTACTGAGATTTAAGTGCGATTTAATGCGATTCAAACGTAATTTACGTTTTAAATCATGCCTTACAATCAGACTCTTTTTTTAATAATACCAATGGTAAGTCTTGATTATTTCCAACACTAGTAAGCTTTGATAGATAAACTAAAAAATAAATCAAATTCATTATGTCAAAAAATGGAACGAGTGAGAAGAATATTCATTTCCACTTGCATGATATTTGGCTAAAATTTTATTTTTGTTTAAATGGTTATCACTGCGTTTGAAGTGTGAGATACTGCAATTATTACGATTTAAGTGTAATAGGGACTATAACTTTTTTATACAACAAGTAAGTATGGTGGAAAAAAGCCACACTTAATTTGCAGAGATTGTTTTTTTTTTCAAATATTAAAGTAACCAAGTAAAGTGTGATCTACATTAGTAATGAATCACCGTTTTATTGTTGAATAATTTGCAACTTAGGCAAAAGTGAAACTCAAAATTATAGTGTCATTTAAAAGGAGTCATACAGTATTTTGCATTATAAGGCGTTTTGTATGGGTGAATCGCATGCTAACGTGACTGTGTGCTCTGCGTACATTCATTCCTAATCATTACCGATTATCTTTGAATTACGGACTGTGGTTGGATTTATCTTTCAAATTACGAACATTTAGGGTTTCTGTGACACATAATTATGTTTAACAAAATTTTTTTTTTTTCACTGTGATTTAAAGATGATTTAAAGACCTAATTGTGATTTAAAGCTCTGGAACAGTGAATCGCTTTAATCACGTGGATAGCCCCTCGCTAATAATAGCATTGGGTTGAAACTTTTAATTATCACGTCTTAAAAATTTACAATGTATTTTTTATACAAGCAAACCGTACCTTCGTTTAAAATTTCTATGTGTGAGTAATACCGAACGAAACTTGCGTATTTTTTTCAAGAACTAAAACTTCGTATATTAACTTCGTAGTAGGGATGTTTATAGTACATCAACAGGAGTTCCTACCTTACTGACTAAATTTTTACAAACAAGCTCATAAAAAGTACTTTGGAGAAGTCATTCAACCATAATCTTAAGCATTAGCTGAGTATTTATTGTCATTGTTTGTTATCTTAATTCCAAAATGACTTTAATTTTTGGCTTGACTGATAATACTTAACTCGAGATACTCACCAGCTTTTCGTGTCGTTTTATTATTCAGCGTTAAAATAACCGTTTCAATAAATAAAAATAACTAACCAAATATAAAATCAAAGTAGTCGATAATGTTGGAACTCCTGGGTACATACTGTATACCTGCATATTTGATATGACTATTTAATCATAACCATACTTGGTAAGAAATTTCGAAAAAAAGTAGCGTTGAAGTTACTTAAACATTTCATAGATCAATTCGATTTTTGCAACATTTTTGATACAACGGTAAATGCATCTACACAGCAGCAACAAAATGTAAATAACAAACTATTCTTGTTTCCCTCCATAGGCATGTCCCCAAGTCAGAACGGCCTACACTTGAACCAGCACTACCAGCAGCAGCAGCAGCAACAACAGTCCCAGGCATCGTTGTCGACGACACCGTCGCAGCGCTGCAGCAGCAGTCTGTCAGGCCCCATGATGGCGCACCACCACCACCACCACCACCACCACCACCAACAGTCACCCGTCGGCGGTGTCATGGCGGCGCCGGCCGGTGTCGCCGGCATCCATCCTCAGCACCATCAGTTCGGCTTCGGAGAACCCCAGAGATAAGAACTACTACTACCTTACCTTATCTTGGAACTTATCACAACAAACTGCAGCTACATTACCAACGACACCGACAGCCGAATATAACAATACACGGTCATTCATTTACCCATGATGACCAATGATTATGCCAGTCACGCATAACAAACGTATTAATTAAACCCTGAGTCGCAAACTCGTGTACACAAAAATGTAGTAAAAACATACCTACAGCGGTGGATAATAAGTGTTCTCGCAACAGTTCGGTGCTCATTCGATATCATCACAATTGATCATTGTTACAATTACGCATGTAAACCACGTAGCATAGTGCACGATTTATTGTTCCACATTCACCAACCGCGTGTTCCAGCGTTCCGATAGCGTATAGTAATGAGAGGGACGGAAAGTGCTTCGACATTAATTTCGTTTACGTTGAACGTTATACAGAGTTTCTGAGCGGTTGGATCATTGATGACCTAACGATGTGCTCTTGATTGTCATTCGTTAATGTCACGTGTACAAAGATACGGTCACAGACACAAAAACACATATCGCCTTGGATGAATGTAGTCGCGTACGGGGTATATAATTGCCGATTGACGCGAGGGAGATATACATACTTAGTATCTGTTCCTGTTCTCTGAATTTCTGTGGGGAGGTGTTCGATTGGATCAAAGGCAAAGTCGTGTGATTACCGAATTAGGTTTTATTTCTTCTCGAGTTAAGGTACGTGTGATCCATACCTTTGGAGAAGCTCCGTATATGTGTCTTTCATTTATATTAAATGGAGTATCGATGTTCAACGTTGTATGGAGAGAAAAAAAAAAAAAATGAAAATTTACATCGTTCACTTTACCGACGGGTGATTGTTAATAGTAACAATCATCAGCATCATCGAGGCTGTCGTTAGATCGTATTACTCGTGATGTCGATCCTCAATCTTCCTTATGTACGTGAATAATTGTACGATATGATGAAAAAAATAATAACAATAATCATTAGCACTGTATATCCTATACTACTGACCTATAGATTGTCGTTTTCTATGGACAAAAAAAATAAGTAAAAAATTATAATAATCAAATAAAATAAAAACGTTGAATGAGATGTTATTACATTGTCTATTGCGCAATAATTGATCAACATTCTCGTTGTTTAATAGCGCCGTTGCGAGTGTTTATTTATCTTAACAATAATAATAATAATAATAATAATAACGATAGTGTTATTTGTGAAAGGACAATTTTTTTATCTCTTTTTGTTATGGAATTGCATGCTTTGAGAGTACAAGTATACGTGTGTGTATAGATTTTTTGGAATCCAGGGACTAGGTGGCGTTTTTCCGATAACTACATCGAAATAAAGTTGTCCGTTTTTAAGGCTAAACATTCTGATGTTTGTGTGAAGTAAGTAAACTAACGAGCTGCATGCTTTTGTGCGCCGATAATAAAAATAAAGATAAAATTACGTCTCAGCAGAAAGCAAAAAACGAATCAAGAGCTGCATACGAAAAACATGTGATATGGTTGTTTTTTTTTTTTTTTTTTTTTTTTTTTTTTCTTCATGCTATTCGTGAAGAGTAGGAACCTACAGACGCGTACATCGCTGCAGAAAGACACGCGTACATACGAAAGGATCGAATCGATAGTTGGAAAATTTGATACTCGCGATTCACGAGCGAGGGAATAAGGAGGGCACGTGCACACGTGTGTATACGTATAACGTACACGAGCGGGTATACAAACAACAATCGTTAACCAAAGAAGGTCGTCCGTATCGTGTGTGCATAGGTGTATGTATACGGGTACACTGTAACGCCGTTACGTAAGCTCGTCCGTCGTTCGTAACGTATACAACCTTCCGCGGCATTGACATTGATCCAAATATTTAATTGCCGGTGAATCGACGACTTTTATCTACTGCTGCCGCCGCTAATGAATATTCAAGAATAGCGCGCGAGCGAGGCTGGATCGATTCGCTGGGCGTTTTATCATGGGGGAATCGATGTCACATATGGTTGGGAATTAACATGTATTTTTTTAAAAATTGGGCCGGCTTTTATACTAAATTAATCCTTGTGCAAAGGTCTTCAGCACCGCGTGTACGTGTCTGACTGAACGTAGGTTCATACTACTTGCTACACANCTTTACAATTATTCAAATGAAGTAAAAAATAAAATAAATAAATAAAAACAAGAATCTTTGTAAATAGGGAAAAAATGTATCGTTAAAAGCAAAATATGTTTAAACGTAAGATATACTAAAGCTCCATGTGTATAATCTGTATGTATAAAAAAAAAATCTTTGCTGTAAAAGAAAACATTTAAAGTGAATATTACCGATTAAAGTTATATACCTTCTATAAATAACGGTACAATTCTTTACCACCCTGTTAAAATCAAAGATTTGAAGGACGAAAACAAAAAATTAAAAATTCAGTAGTACATTATTTAAGATGAAATCTTTTATTGTTCGTTCGAATATACTGCAGATTGAAAGTATAAAAGTGATGCATTTATTTTTTCATTAATTTTATCCATATTTAAAAAAAATTTTGAAAAAAGAAAATCAATATAAGAATGAGCATCAATTCTATGGCAATTCATTTTTTTTGAAATTGAAAAACAACACGTATTAATGAAAAAAGCAATGAAAAAAATTTATTTTCTTACATGTAATTAAATAAGCATATACATACGTATCGAAAAATGCTTCCATGAAAAATTAATATCTTTTATTACAAGAATCGAACCACTTCTACAAATCAATCAATGTATAATACTTAAATTATACTTATACTTATATGAGTCATAAAAATGAATAGACAAACTATAGAACGTGTTTTTTAAACAACAAATGAGTTATATTGAACATCAAATTATTTTCTTCGGAAAAATATCGATATCGATGAATACATACGTATCTATACTTACGCAGACATCGCAAGTCTATTGAAACTTGTTCAGTCAAAATTAATAATACTTGCCTTTTTTGTCTCAGTACACATCTAAGATAAGACATCTGATTTTCGACTAAAATTTCATGAATCGATTGAGAAAAAAAATTTGATTTCAAATATAAAATTAGAAACTAGAACATAAACAACAACGTACTTGCATGCTATTCCATGAGACTGATGTTCACACCCCTAGCAACAAGTGCTTTAGTGAAAAATTCGAAACACAGCATATCCTATAAAAACATAGCAAAGGTGAAGGAAAAAGTACGAAGGTTGTTCTTTATTTTCTGTCGAGATCCAGTTTTTCTTTTTTTTTTTTTTTTTTTTTTTTTTAGTTCGACCCTGACCCTTGACATTCACCGAATATAGAATATCTTCCAGTGCACGTGAGGGAGTCTGTACGTCTTGATATTTCTCGATTCAACTTCCTCGCTACCAAACAAGAAAGAGACCATATTTTTTATATTTATTCACGTAAGCATCAATTATATCTTTTTTTTTATCCCCTTGACGCCGACACGAACTGCCATCGGAGGTACATGAAAACCTTGGGTCTAATATATTTTTAAACAATACTCTACACTTTTTTATTTACACATTTATCATAGAGGGTAAACGACCTTCAATCCAAGCTTTCGACAGACTCGTTTTACCAATCAATATCATTCAACGCCAATTTGGCGTGTTCTATTTTTTATTTAAATATAAAAATCAAAAGACGTAACGAATTCAATGTGGCGGGTGCTGTTAGTCCTACACTACCTGTGAATTTTTTTTTATTTTTTTTTTTTTTCATTGGAATACTTCTTGGTGAATTTATAGAATAACTGCTACTATAAAATTAACCATCCAATCTGTTATGTTTATATGCCATGTATGAGATTAAGAGGAAGTGTTTGGATGACGTAACTTGGCAGTACATCAATCATGTACACACGTAATATTGTGTTGATATTTTTTACGCTATCGGCGTTTGAGTTCGACGTCTTTTGATCATTTGACATGTTACACGCTTGACGCGACAGACGTATACATGTATGGTTGTACTAGTACATGGTTGAAAATTTTTTTTTTATCGCATCACGTTTTTACACCAAGTAATTTGGGCGCTAAAAGGTTCAAGTGAGTGTATTGTGCGATAAAACGGTAGAAATAGTGATAAACGCAATTTTTACATTTTGTTGGATTGGCGTTAGACAGCTCGAAAAAAAAGCTAATTCGTTTGATTCTACGATAACTTTTATGTATCATAGCGACGAGATTTAAAAACTGCGTTACGTTGAAAAAAAAAAAAAAAAAAAAGATGTTTATGGCATAGGTATACAATGTATGTAATAGATGTGAGCGGCGACGGCGAGTTCATTCATCACTTGTATAGGACTTGTTATTCTTATCAATGACGAACCGAACGGAGACTATGTATGTATACGCGTTTCGATTGTACTCGCTAAGGTGTTTTTTTTTTATACATATTATATCTTTCGTTCGTTAAATACCTAGTACATGTGTAAATACGTTTGAATAACTTTTGAGCGATGGCACGTAGATGAGTAAGTGAAAGAGTGTGAAACTACTGCGATGGCGTTAAAGAATTGTCATAGAACCTAGTAATATACGTACTTTTTGCCCTACGGATACTATATACATGTATACGCTTTCAATATGGATATACATATAATACGTACGAATGTGATTATTCATCGAGTGAATTTCATTTGGGTATTTTGACGCGTCTCTATGTACAGAATATTATTACTATGTTACTGAAGATAAAAAATTATTACGATTATTTCTAACACGAGCGTTTATTTTGATCATAGATTAGAAAAAAGTATGTTTTTTCCTTTGATTGTACATAATTATTGCCAGAGAAATTAATCATCCGAAATATATATCATTAAGAATGATGCTTTTTATACATGAATTTTTTTTCGCTCATCTATACCTTTATGTCATTCATCAACTTTCCTACGAAATTAAAAAAAAAGTTGGGTCATAATAGTTGTAAATATGAGCCAAAATAAAATTGTACACTTGCCGCAAATAGCGCAAACAACGTCACCTTTTTATTTTATATCCATAAGATTAGTTGCGGCTGGTTTATAAGCGATTACATGGCTCTACTATAAGTAGTATAATAGTAATAATTGTTGGGATCAGCGCCATCTAGCGGTCTTCATTATTTCGCGATTTTCGCGAAAAGTGGCTCCTAAAATTCTGAATGAGACGTTTAGGCTTTGGGCGAGTAGAGCCAATTATAAACCAGCCGCAACTAATCTTGTGGATAGAAGATACAAAGTTGACGTTGTTTGTGCTATTTGCGGCATGTATACAATTTTTCTTTTACCTGAAATTTGACCTCCAAAAGTGTAGATATTCTACTTATATATGGTTTAATAAAATCGACCATATGGCACTACTTAGTAGTGATTACTATAATTACTAATCATAACTTCATGTATATCTTATACAGTGCTCATTTTACCAGAATGATAAAATCAGAGATCAGAGGCTTTATTCCGCAAATGCTGCCAGCAGGATCTCAACATTCTCAACAATAAATTCTACAATTAGTGCCATCTAGCGTGTCGAATTTTGAACAAAAAAGTAACCTTAAAACTTCCAAGAAAAGTTACTGGGCTAGTGACTTTCTAGTGATTTTTCTTAGAAGTTTTAAGCATAGACATATAAGAAAAATAGACTGCTCATTCTTATTTACGGCGCTAAAGCACAAGTAGAAGAAGAAACAACATAGGACGTGGGTATCTATTTCTCTCGCACATTCCCACCTTTGGCAATGTGTAAGAGAGACGGATATCCACGTTCGATGTTGTGTCTTCTTCTACTTGTGCTTTAGCGCCGTACATAAGAATGAGCAGTCTATTTTTCTTATATGTCTATGGTGTTAAGGGTACTTTTTAGTTTGAAATTCGCCACGCTAGCTGGCGCTGATTAAAAACTGAAATTATATATAGGTATGCAATTATTGCAATTACACAGTAAATCATGCCGATTTGACCGGATTCTGTGAATAACAGTCTGTGATGCTGTTACACACATCTTTTTAGGTTAGGTCATGCTGTGTAGCGTATGTATTGCATGGGCGAATTGGATATCTTGTGTCAAATGAATGAAAATTCAAAAAATCTAAACCTAGTGCGTAAAATAAAAAGTCTGCCTTAGGATCAAGATAACGAATTCGAAAAATTTCGTGTTGTGATCCTCTCTTTTTCTCTTTCAAGTGCAAAAGCTTAATATAATGGCAGACAATGCAGTAGTTGCAACAGCTGGTGGAGCTGAATCTGGAGCTAAGCCTCCTAAGACTGCCAAACAGTTGGAGAAGGAAAAACAAAAACTCGCCAAGCTTGAAAAGTTCAAGCAGAAACAGGAGAACAAAAATGAAGCGAATGCTGGTGCTGAGGTCAAGGATAAAGCTACGGTCAGTAATTTTAGTTTTACCTAGTGTTATTTCATAAAGATTAACTTGAGGTAGATACACGACTGTCTTTTTTTAGTTGGCAATTACCTTTGACAACAAAAGATTTTTTTTTTGACATTTGGACTTAATTTAGTATCTGATGTTTAAAAATTTTAATTTCATCTGAAATGTACTTACAGAAAAAGCCGGAAAAAAAGGAGGTCAAAGAAGCTATTGTTTACACTGCAAATACTGTACCAGGAGATAAAAAAGATGTAACCTGCCCTATGCCAGAAGCTTACAGTCCACAGTATGTTGAAGCTGCCTGGTACTCGTGGTGGGAAAAAAGTGGATTTTTCAAACCGGAGTATAATGTAATTTCAATGAAAGGATCTTTAATTTATTATTAAAAACTACAATCTGACGTGCTTTAAATTACTTTTAGAGGAACATATCGGACCCGAATCCTAAGGGTAAGTTTGTGATGGTAATCCCACCTCCCAATGTGACTGGATACCTCCATCTTGGGCATGCTTTGACAAACGCAGTTGAAGATGCAATCACGAGATGGAACAGAATGAAAGGCCGCACAACTCTGTGGAATCCAGGTTGTGATCACGCCGGCATTGCCACGCAAGTGGTGGTAGAGAAAAAATTGTGGCGAGAGGAAAAGAAGACCCGACATGATTTGGGTCGCGAAAAGTTTGTCGAAAAAATTTGGGAATGGAAAAACGAGTTAGTCATTTTTTTGTACTTTCTTCGGCATTCAATACAAAAGTTGTAGTACAGTTCTTACCTATTTACCTTGTGTTTATTTCAACACAGAAAAGGAGACAGAATTTACCAGCAGCTGAAGACACTAGGAGGCTCGTTTGATTGGGACAGGGCTTGCTTCACGATGGATCCTAAGCTATGTCGAGCTGTTACAGAAGCATTTGTGAGATTGCACGACGAAGGTGTGATATACAGAAGTAATCGTCTTGTCAATTGGTCATGCACATTAAAAAGTGCAATCTCTGATATTGAGGTAACAAACATTTCGATTTTGTATTTCATTAATTGGAATCGATGTTGAACACGGCGGTGATTTTACTACTTGAAGGTAGACAAAATAGAACTGACTGGTAGAACATTCCTCTCAATACCCGGGTACCAAGAAAAAATCGAATTTGGTGTATTGGTACTCTTTGCCTATGAAATGGAAGACTCAACAGACCGAATAATCGTTGCTACGACGCGTATCGAAACAATGTTGGGAGATACAGCAATTGCTGTCCATCCAAACGACAAACGGTACGCTCATCTGATTGGCAAGCACGCCAAACATCCGTTCTGTAACAGAAAACTGCCCGTTGTTGCCGATACCTACGTTGAAATGGAGTTTGGCACCGGTGCTGTTAAAATAACCCCAGCCCATGATCCAAACGATTACGAGATTGGGAAAAAGCATAATTTACCGTTCATTACTATTTTCGATGATGATGGTAATATTTGTGGAGACTATGGAATATTCACGGTACGGTATTTGCAGTTATTTAAATTTTAATACATTTGGGATTATTTAATGACTTATGATGTTGCGGCTTTTATCTAGGGAATGAAACGTTTCCATGCTAGAAAAGCAATTTTGAAAGAATTGACAGATAGAAATTTGTTTGTTGAAATCAAAGACAATCCTATGGTCGTACCTGTGTGTAGTAGATCTAAGGATATTGTAGAGCCGCTTATAAAGCCTCAGTGGTAAAGTGACGTAATTTCAATCAATCCTAAAAAAACTTGCCAACATTTTTTTATACACAATGTGCTATTTAAGGTATATTAAGTGCGACGACATGGCAGCAAACGCAACGGAAGCTGTGAAAAGCGGAGAACTGAAAATTATTCCTGAACAATTCAAAAAAACTTGGTACTACTGGATGGAGGGTATCAGGGACTGGTGCATTTCTAGGCAGTTATGGTGGGGTCATCGTATTCCTGCATACTTCGTTTCTATTCAAGGTGGAAATTTGGATGCATCGGATGATGATAGATGGGTGAGTGGACGTTCGGAGGACGAAGCAAAAGAAAAGGCAGCCAAAAAGTTCGGCGTTAGCAAGGACAAGATTGCACTCAAACAAGACGCTGACGTTTTGGATACGTGGTTTTCATCCGGGCTCTTTCCGTTCTCTATCTTTGGCTGGCCGGATGAAACTGAGGAGCTAAAAGCTTTTTACCCCGGCACTCTACTGGAAACCGGACATGACATTTTGTTTTTCTGGGTGGCAAGGATGGTATTCTTAGGACAAAAGTTACTGGGAAGATTACCTTTCAAAGAGGTATATTTGCACGCAATGGTAAGAGATGCGCACGGACGAAAAATGAGCAAGTCTTTAGGCAACGTCATCGATCCGATGGACGTGATTCGCGGAACTACCTTAGAGAACCTACACAAGCAGCTGAAGGATTCGAATTTGGATCCCAAAGAGCTCAAGATCGCGATAGACGGACAGAAGCGCGATTACCCGCAGGGAATACCAGAGTGCGGAACCGATGCTCTGCGCTTCGCTTTGTGCGCCTACACGTCTCAAGGACGCGACATCAATCTTGATATCCTGAGGGTGCAAGGCTACAGATTTTTCTGTAACAAGTTGTGGAATGCAGCCAAGTTTGCTCTCACTTATTTTGGCAACGAGTTCAAATACGACGAGGCTGATAATGTCGAGGTGAGAGATAGTGATAATAGTTTTTGACCGTAGCTCGTGGTATTTGAATGGTGATCAAGGTCGGGGGTATAATGGGATTCACTTTCACATTTTGTATTCATTTCATCATCACACGCATGACCTTATCATACGCAAAGAAAAATCCATTCCTATTGTAACACGAACAGAGCAACAACGGCAGCAATAACGGAATCCTAGGTGACGGCAGATGGTACGAGAGTACGATAAGCGAGCCCTGCGTCCAGAAATCGTTGGATCGTTATCTCCGCAGCTACGCTTACCTGGACGGCTTCACGCCTTCCCAGCTCGACGTCAAAGCACACGAGGCTGCAAAACGTTGTTTTGACTCGAAAGTTTTGAACTGTCTGCCGCATCTGGCGCGCTGGTATGCGCATTTTGAGAGCTACGGCTCTAACGAGAGGAAGGCTTTGAGGCCAGAAAATAACAGGATACAGTCTTATTGCGCTGAGATTGCTGATGATTGTGGTAGTGGTGTTGAAGGGTTTAAGGTGATCTGGTCTCTCTCTGTTTCTTCTGTTGATTTGTTTTGCATGAGCTTGATGGATGAATTTTGATTTGACCTATACAGGCTTGCGATTTTTTTTTTTCACGTAGAAAATTTAGTTTCATAATCATAAAATCACAGTAACTTTAAAAAAGACACAACTGCATGAGACTAGACATTTTTTGTTAATCTTAATAAATTTGATATACATTTTTTATTTGTACTGACATAAATTTTTCCCTTCAGCTAACTGGAAATGAATCTAGCATTGATCTGTGGATGTTGTCCAGAGTGAGCTATGCAACCCAGATATGTGACGATGGATTCACCCAGTTTGACTTTAACTCGGTCACCACTGCCTGCTACAATTTGTGGCTCTATGATCTCTGCGACGTGTACCTGGAGTGCCTGAAACCTGTTTTCCAAACTGGAACTGACCTGCAAAAGCAGACAGCTCAACGCGTTCTTTTTAAAACTCTGGACGCGGGCCTCAGACTGCTCTGCCCATTCATGCCTTTTATCACGGAAGAGCTTTATCAGCGCTTACCTCGCAAGACTCTGATTTATCCCAGTATATGCGTTTGTCCGTATCCCACTACTGCTGAGGTATGTTATTTAATAATTCATTGTTTTGATCGAGTATGTCGATAAGCTGGTGATAAGAAAGTGTGTAATTACAGTGTTCCTGGAGAAACGAGCAGCTGGAAAAAGACATCGATTTTGCTCAAAAGGTCGTAAGGAGTATTAGATCGTCGCGAAGTGCCTACAATATACCAAATAAATCGAAAACTGAAGTTTACTTTGCCTGTCGTGACAGCGAGATCAAGAAGATGATTTCCAAGTACTTTGACGTGATCGGTACGCTGGCGTACTCGATCGTTAGCGTGGAAGAACCACCGTCTGGATGCACTATTATCACGGTTTCCGATAAGTTGCAGGTTCACTTGCTACTGAAGGTAAACACGTTTGTTATTCTTATATATTTGCCGAAAACAAAGGGTAGAAAATTAACTTTGACAATTTTTGTTTGCAGGGGCTGATTGATCCGGTAAAGGAGCTGGAAAAAATGAAGAAAAAAGAAAAACAGTTGAAGGACACGATACAGAAGCTGCAGAAATCCATGGAATCGCCGGATTATGAGATTAAAGTTCCTGTCGAAGTGCAGCAGACAGACAAAGAAAAATTACTTAATAGCAAGGGTGAAATGGAGAGACTGGTGGAAGCAATGGAGGCTTTACAAGCTATGTAAAAATGAAAATTGGTGATGTTTATCAAGAAAATATTTTTTATGTCGAATGTCATCATGCCTTAATCTATTTATTAATAAATACCTTGAAGTTTTGGAAATTGGTGTATTTTTATTTTATAAATATTTTGCGGGAAAAATAAAAAAAAAGGTATTTACACTGAGGTTTTTTATTTTAAAATTTATTTGTGCCACTTTATATGTATATAATATATATCTATAGAAAGATATACGTTAACAAATATATTACACGATCCCTAAAAATGAATACTTAACAAAAGAGATAAATGATTAAAAACGAAATACGCAAAGAAAAATGTATATAACAATGGAGTTCGCGCGTGACTTTGCAAGTAATTGAGTATTTCTATACATCCTAAAAGAAATTATTAAAAAAATTTGTTTTCTTCAAATAATTGCTCTACAATTAGTGATCCTTTTTTCTCGGTAAGCTTCAGGTTTTTCAATAACTAGTAACGATATAATTCACGATTATAAAAATTCAATTCAAGTATAAGTATATTGTCGACGTGATCGTGGTCTAGCACGACACTCTTCTTCATTACCTTTATTTATTTACTTTTTTNCGTAGACACTAATCTAAGTCTCCTCGTTAGTATCACGCACTTGTGTGATAGTACAACTATCAGTATTATGTACAATGATTTTTTTCCTAAAGTCTCTGCTACATCTACGTGGATGCGTATATATTGTGATGACAAAATGAGCTGGTGTAATGGTCTAGCACGACACTCTTCTTCATTACCTTTATTTATTTACTTTTTTTTTTTTTTTTTTTTTTTCGTTCTGATGAATTATATAAAAATCAATGCTTCTGAAAAAAGTGCATTTACATTACTTTTTTTTTTATGTATAAATATAATGTGTACGTATATTCTAGTTTCATATACTTTCGGAATGATCAGTATTTCATCCCCGACTATCATTTAAAATCGATATACTTCATACATGTAGGTATATTTACAAAAAGGAAGAACACAATTGCCACGTGAAATTTTTTTGGGCATCATTTCTTTTCTCTTCAATTGATGTACTTGATTTTTCTCTATATTAAGCCTTTTACTTTTAATATTTTCCTTATAAATAGTATACAGTTTGCATAGTTTTTACAACTTTGACGAAACATTCTTTTTCTGTGTCACATGCACGACGGAAGATAGACGACTGCTTACGATTAACAGAGAATCTATGTAGGCCATTCGAACTCACGAGACCATCAGATTACTAGTTACATACACACGATTTATTTATATAATATATTATTCAAGATCTCTTGCTTACAACCATCTACTTTGATAGCATTTGCACAATTATCAAATTTACAGATAATGATATGTCGCATTCAATCGTGATTTAACTATGTAGACTCTACTTGTACCAACAGGAACTTGTGCTGTTGTTTTTCGATTCATCTTTGAGCTAATATTTATTTTTTTTTTTTGTTGTACACGTACTGGAAATTGTGGATTTTTTAATTTCTTATTCAAAGACATTGTGACAGTACAATCCTGGTTAAAATTATATATTTTAAAAACAAACAATGAGTAACGCGTACATAAAAGTTTATATAGGTAAAAAAAAAAAAAAAAAACTATATAGACTATACGAAATGAATTTTAACTGCGATTGGTAAAAAATACAACTGTGACGTCTCTTCGATTTTTAATGCTCGACTCTACCATTAATGAGACAGCCAAGTGTAGACGCATACATGAATGCATACGATACATTTATATGATATGTTCAGTCATTTTGATCGGACCCACATATACTCTGTTCGTTGTATCTGCGCAAAAATCCCACAATAAAAACTTTTCCCAAGCTTAGCTACAAAACCTGCGTATGATTGACTTTAGATTTTAATTTTAGAAATATTATTTTACACCTTAATCATTATCTGTTTTTCTTTTATATTTTGCTCATGAATGTGTGCATGCACGTTAAAAACTAATATAAATATATGCACTGGACAGACTGTAGATTCGTATGAGTTTTATCACAAAAAATTTCAAAGTGTGCCAACACAGGCTATAAATAATTCTCGCTGTAAGCAAAAAAAGAGCAGCCTCTTTAGTTATATGCTTTTTTTATCAACTGAACATAAAATAAATTTTTTTTTTTTTACACACATACGTTTGTAACGAGAAGAATAATAATTTTTCAGAAAAAAAAATTTTTTTTTAAATACCTAACGTAAATTATATATTTTAAACTGTTCGCGTATACGTTGAAACAAAAAAAAAAAAAAAAAAAGTCAGAAAAACTGGTAAAAGATTGTTCTTTTTTAACTGCGTACATAGCTAACTTTTGTGAATAAACGTTAGGTACATGATATAAAAAAACCAAAAAGAAAATAAAACTTACATGAGATGATACACTACATTAAAACCGTAAGTCCCTTCAAATTCGCTGATTCACACCTGTGTTATTGTTTAATTTGTTCGATTTGATGTACACCGGAATATCTCACACACACGCGTACACGCACGCACGACACATTTTTTAATTTGACTTAGAAAACTTGGATACAATCTTCAATAATTAAATCAAAGAATTGACTAATTTACCTTTCAACTTCTCATTTTTCATAAGACTCTATATATATATGTATATANCTTCATTACCATGTTGCGTTGGAAAAATTGTGGGCCTCACTATACGTACTGCTTCTTCCGGTCCGGTCTTTCGTTTGGAGGACAAAATTGCTTGTGTACGGACGTAGAGGTTTTTTTTTTTTTCTTTTTTAATAGACAAAATAAATGACCATGATACACACCTCTACGACATGTATTAAGCAAAAAAAAAAAAAAAAAAAAAAACCATAATTAAGAGATACATTTATATATTATACATTACTTACAAGGTGACCAAGTGAGTTTTTTGATGCATAATTAAACAGAAAAGTATCAAAAAATATTAGACATGTGTTTTCTTTGCTGACCAAACAGCTTTTTAAGCAGTGAAATTAACCCCCACAACGAAATTTTCTGCGTAACTTAATCTTTAAGCTCTAATATTTTAAAACTTAACAAAGTGGATATTATTTGTAACAATGAAAAAAAAAAAAATGTTTTTAATAACCATGGAACTTAACAATGTTTGCAACCTTTAATTTTAAGGGTAGGTTTTAATCTTCTAAAAAATTTTTGGTCAGCTTAATTAATACATATCCATTGTTTTTTTTTTTTTTTTATGCTCTTGATATATTAATATGCCAAGTTTCAAAAATCGTACGTAGACACTAATCTAAGTCTCCTCGTTAGTATCACGCACTTGTGTGATAGTACAACTATCAGTATTATGTACAATGATTTTTTTCCTAAAGTCTCTGCTACATCTACGTGGATGCGTATATATTGTGATGACAAAATGAGCTGGTGTAAAAGCGACTCACAAAGGTCTATAATATGTACGTTTTTCAAAAATTTCATTGAAAATTGTGTTGTTTTTGTTTCAAAGGTATGCGTACGGCCGACAATAATCCTACGTAACAATGAAAGTTACCCCATTCGTAAGACCTTTTCGACAGACAGCTCATAGTGAAAGCGTGTCGATAATTATCAAGTTTGACAACTTTACTTGAAATCATTGTATGAGATTAATTCATTGATAAATCATGGGTCTACTGTAGCAGTAATTATAAACAGAGAAATGCATCAAAAATACTTATCATTTGTAATGATTTTTCATTTGAGCTATTCTACCAATAGCGGCATCGTCAATGACAACGTAAACAATATTATTAATAGAGCTTGCTGTGCAAGTGTTCTTTACTTAATGCGACGTTTCGGTTTCCTTACAGGTTTTTGAGTCATTGGACGTCCCTTCGTACAAAAAACGCAGAATACCTCTTGGAACTGTGAAGTAGCATTGCATGTAAGGTCAAATTGGGAAATAGAGAATCCCATCAGCAAGAAAAGCAAATCCAGTGATGGTTAAAGTTTAAAGGTCCATATACGAACGTGTGTGAGTTAGATAATCAGTTGGACAGGAAATTAGAAATGAATAATTAATCATGGGTAAAAAAAAAAATGAGTTTAATGACCCAAAATGGCTTCGTAAGAAATTTTGATTCGAGAAATCAGTATAATAATAGCATCGGAATAAAAAAATTATTTTTTTGACACGCGAAGTGACAATCATACGAGAGGTTTCTTTACCACAAACGGAAATGTCTCAAGATATTAAAAAAAAAAAAGCAATTAAGCATTTTCTATCCATAATTGCGTGAAAGTGCACGAGACTCGCAATCATTCGAGAGATGGGACATTTTTCGTCCATTCGATTTATATTTTATAAAGTAAGACCGGGAAGATTGGCTGTTTCTGAAGATCCACTTGATTGGAGTCGTTCGATGGAAGGATAATTTTTAAGGTTCAATAAAAAAAAATTTTAAAAATGTTAGCCGCTCGAACGAGAGTGTTTTTTTAGCGTCCCCGAAGCTATAACCAAGAGTCGGAGCGATACCGATTGGAATTGGTGGTTGTCTTGAGTTAGTTGGCTGCTGGTGCATATTCCCAGGGAGAGGGAATTCAATAAAGTGACCAGTTTTTTGAGGTATTGGCTAGAAGCACGACGGCTCCAAGTATTTGCAAACATCCGCAAGGCGTAAAAACTACTGTGCCTAGTACGAGAGAGTACACAGAGTCATAACAGCGACAAAGAGAAAACTCAAATTTTAACATATGCATCCATCATATACATGGAAGTCACTTTTTGTCCATGCCATTTCCGCGAACCAAGCAGGTAGCTTGTTTGGCTTAAACATCCGAGTAGTCAAAGTCCAACCAGCTGTGCCATTATGTGGTTGGTACCCAAATCTGTACGTTTATGTAAATAGTTTGTCCGAGTGACCAATTCTCATCATATAATTTCACTCGTAGGATTTGTGAATGTAAAAAAATTCAGCTTATTACTGAATTGTAAAAGAATTACTAAAGGCGATCGCCATCTTATCGAATATTTTGGATGGTTTTTTTTTTTTTTTTTTTTTCCTCCAATTTGGAAAATCCTCTCTACGAGGCGATCCTCCCCACTGCTAGAGCAAAATGAGGAGAAAAAAAAATAAGAACAAAATCAAACGTGCAGTTTTTTTTTTTTTTTTTTACACGTACGTGCATGTATAAAATGTACATGGTGAGAAAAAAAACATCNAATCGTCGAAATAGTTTACTCATGTGCATATACTTGATTTTAATAACTTAAGGTGCAGGACTGTTGCATTTTTTTTTTTTTTTTTTTTTTACACGTACGCCCTCAATTCCAATAGTTGTATCTTCTTTACGCATAATTCCACGCAGAAAGAGAAGAGATTTCAGTGTGAGACCACGTACTTACCAGAATAACTTGAACGATTATTTGAAAATAAAAATGGATTTTTTATTGTGTCATTGCCAGTTTAATTAAAAATATGCTCTTGCTTGCTTGAACGCAATTGGGATATACGCGAATCAATTGCCGCGATAGCTAACAACTACTCGAATGATTTTTTTTAGAAAATACTATACCAAGCCGATTTGTAAACGGTTTCGGTCCCGAAATTTCGTCTCCCAATTAAAATTCCAATCAAGAGACGAGTCAGCGCGAGTCGCCACAAAAACATCATCAATCGACCCTGTATCCGAATTCATGGAAATTAATTAAAACTCTCGCAATATTTACAACATCGATCAATAACAAATTAATTATCCCTTACACAACAGAATAGATCATCAACGTTCGATTTCATTAAGCTATTCACACACCAAAATTAAAAGACAAAAGAAAAAAAAACAAACAACAACACGCCTCACGCTGTGCTCGTCTTTTATCCTAAAATTGCAAAAAGCCCCTCGTTAAATTTCTCCCTGCCCTCGACAAATTGAGGGGGAAAAGAAAAAAAGGTAAAATGAATAAAAAAAAAAAAAAAATCATCAACAATCCAAACAAACGTAAATAAAAAACGGTGTTCACTCAAACTTGGTCCAATTGCTCGGCGACTTGACGCTTTGCTGACTGCCAAAAGCCGTTCCGAAAGGTTTGACCGCGTTGTTGTGCACAGCCTCCGTCTGCAGCTTAGTCTGGGATATCATCCTCGAGGAGGCCGTAGCTGCCGCTGCGACGGCCGCGTTGCCGTTCGACAGGCTGAACTTGTTGAAATCAAGGCCGTACTCTTGCAGTAGATCCAAGTCACCGATCTTTGACTACAAAAACACACACACACACACACGCGCGCGCGCGCTATTAGCTCGATCGACGAACAATCACGTTTTTTATCCAAGGTATACGTACCAAGCAAGGCGCAGCGGAATCGTGCTTGCGCTGTTGGGGCGTGAAATACGGGTAGAGAGGGTTGCTCAGGCCCTCGCCCAAAAGCTCAGCCGTGCTGGGCGCGTGCAGCGACTGGCTCATTTGTTTGTGCGTGTTGTTGGCCATTGGTGGCGCGACACCGCTTGTTGCTCCGGTCGTTGGATCCGGGACCAAGGATTTCGAGAGCAGCGGATCAAAATCGTCGTCACTGTTCGTCGAGTCGAGCCTGATTAGGTCCTGCACCTCTGGTGCTTTGCCCTATCGGAGAGAAATAATAATAATGTTTATCAAAGGGGGGGAAGGGGACACCGTTGTTTCTTTCCACTTGTTAGATTTTTTGGAGGAGGAAGGTAGAGCTTGTGTATATACAATATGCGAGCGTGTAAAATCGCAAAGCTGAGCGCGTAAGCGGGTCGGGTGGTGTTTCGATGTTTCGAGTCGAAGCAAAGCGATTGTTTCTCTGTTATCAAGTCTATTATAGACATATTGTAAGTGTACAAAAAAAGAGAGACTATGGACGCAATTCCCTTTCAAAATACTAATAAGTATGTTTGAGTCAACGGCGATCGGCACACGAGAGATGCATCGAAACAACGCAGTTAGTGTAGCAACATAACATGTCCCTCATGATAATGATGATGCACACACCCAAACTTTGTATTATTTCACATACCCAATGGATCATTATGTTACTGTACAGTGGCACGTGTCAATATAAATACGTAAATGTATATGTAATATATAAAAATGCAAATAAACAGGACGAAAAATGCATATATGAGCAATAATAATCATCTGCAATCAAACTGAAACGCTCACTTTCAAATGTGTGTGGACATCAGCGTGCAAGAGTGTGATGTACATGATACATGGATGCGTATAATTATGTATAAATGCATAAAAAAAAAGAAAAAAAAGTTACCAAAATTAATAATATTACACGTGACAAGTAGAAAAAACAATCAAGATCACAAGTATAAATGCATAAAAAAAAAGAAAAAAAAGAAGAAAAAAAAAAAAAAAGAAAAACAGAGCAAACACTTTACCTTGTCACAATTGGCTACACTACTTAGTTTCGGGGGCAGTAGCGGTGGCGATGATGGTGGTGGTGGTGGTGGTGGTGGTGTTGGTGATGATGATGATCGAGCGGAGATAGTAGCGACGGAAGAAGAAGACGACGACGACGACGAGGAGGAGCGTGGCTGCTGGTCCAGAAGTTGTCCAGGTTGGTTCTGCAGCGTGCGATCGGCGCGGAAGAGGGGATTGGGAAAGCCAAAGGGATTGAGGACCTGGCTGGTGTCGAAGGGATCGGCGGGACTCTCGCTCGGCACGCTGCCGTACAGCTCGAAGGGATCCTCCGTCCTGAGCCGGCTGGGCAGCACCGGTGCCTCGACAAACGGGTTCGTGGGGTTGACGAACTCGTGAGGGACCACCACTTCGGCTGATGGTCCTCCTCGGTCGGGCCGCTTTTTCTTCTGCTTTCTGGTTGCCGCTTCGACGAGGGGCGCTCTGTCCCTGGGCTCCTCCGTGGAGTTGCGCGCCGAGCGAGATCCAGGGCTGTCGTCCGCAAGGGGCTCGGCACGAGAAGGAGGAGGAGCAACGGGTTTGTTCAGCTGTTTAGGGATCTGGTAGTGCTCGTAGGCCGACGACGAGGAGGAGGGGACACTTTGGGTACTGGGGAGTGGCCCGTGACGCAGACGCCCGCCTCGTCCGGGCCTCAAGCTGTCTAAACTGCGCACCGGCTTCAGCTGAAAAGGGCGTCGATAGAGGCACGCGCGTACGCTGTACACTATTATACGTGATGGGTATGTATAAGGACATACTGCACGCTTGTTGGCCGACGGTGACTTGGACGGTCGTGCTAGTGCGGAGCTCGATGGGCCGTCGGAGCGAGTCTTTGAAGTTGGAAAGGATAGCTCGGACAGGCGGACGGCGATTTTTCGACCGATCGCTATGTTTTTGAGGCTGGTTTTTTTTTTCGTTTTTTTTTTTTGTTTTTTTTTTTTACATTGGCGCGTCCACGGTAAACAGACAATATGATTAGAACAAAGAGTGAAAAGTAAGTATGAGACATGTTAAATGTATGTACCTGATCGGTCGGTGGTTCTTTTTTAAGCTCATCTCTGTGGAAATGGATCGAAACACGATGCAACTGCTGCGTAGGTACTTCCGACCTCAAAGACTCGCTCGTGTACGCGTTATATTGTGATTTAGCGCTCCAGCGTATACGTACATGTTGTTGCTCGCGTTGTGCAATACATTGTTTAGAGATGCGAAACGGAGATAAACATCGGTCTCGAAAAAACATCGCTAGTTGCACAAATCTTATCGCACACAACATGACACTTCAACCCAGTCTCTCGTGCGTGTGTGTACATTGGAGCGCAAAATCCAGCGCACGTGTGTTACGCAATGACGCAATGATAATCCAAATTCCCAAACAGCGGTGACTATTATTGTAATTGTAATTATGGCTTTTTCACCCCGCCACCTTTCATACGACAGCGCACGAGTAGTATACAAGTACGGACACTTCATTACCATGTTGCGTTGGAAAAATTGTGGGCCTCACTATACGTACTGCTTCTTCCGGTCCGGTCTTTCGTTTGGAGGACAAAATTGCTTGTGTACGGACGTAGAGGTTTTTTTTTTTTTCTTTTTTAATAGACAAAATAAATGACCATGATACACACCTCTACGACATGTATTAAGCAAAAAAAAAAAAAAAAAAAAAAAAACAAAGTATTTTTTATAATATGAACTCTTCTACGTAATAATGTAGCATCCCATGCTCAAAAATTAAAAGTCATTAAAAAATAAAAACAAAAATCGACACACGTGTGAGTCACAAACTAAGTGCTTGTATAATATGATTTGGATGCACAAGATTGTAACGTAACACAAGAATCCAAACACACAGAGAGAGAGAGAGAGAGAAGTATGAAGGAAAAGCAGCGTTAAACATATAAATGTGTACACAGTGCGCCTGCAATGTCGTTCTGATAATTGTGTGTGTATGTGTGTGTAAATGTAAATGTTTGTGCGCGAAATTTTAGACAAGGAGATAAGACTTGTATCTCCTTTTTCATTTTTTACGATCTTACACATGACTGAGGGAAACAAAAAAGACGTGCGAGTAACTTACGCTACGGTCCACCGGAGGAGTGTTTGGAAATATGACGTCGCGTAACTCGTGCATCAGGTCGATGTGTAGATGCTCGGGCGGTGCGTCTTGGTCATCTGGAGAGCTTGGATTAAGTGGTGAATACTGCTTTCTACTGAAAAAAATTAGAAAATTTTCGGGTTCATTTGACTGAGCAGCAATTTCATGTCAACAACCGCATCAGACTTGAAGATTTTCTCTATGAAAAAAGCTAAAGAGATACAAGAAAAAATGTACCTAGTTTCTATATTACTATTGGGAATCCGAAGTTCTTTCCGGTAACTTGTCGTGGGCGTAAGGCCACTGGGTGATTTCGATGGGGAAGCGAACGATATCGGCCTTCTGTCCAACGTCGGTGAATTAGGCGCTGATCTAGGCTGGTGAAACCGCGTAGCGTTATCACCTCGGGTGGCTCGTCCTATAATTATTGAGACCTGTTAAAATTGGTTTCTCCACTTTTAAACTTTTTTCAACTCTATAACGTACCTTTCCACTTTAGGCCTTTATAAACAGTCTTCACGTCCTTTCCTTTATCTTTTACCTGTAATATTTCAATAAAAATTGTTTATTAACAATTGTTGAAAAAATGAATTTTTTTTTCCATATAATACTTTACCGATTTCACTGCATATTTCACAGCAGGATTGGCCTGAGAAATACAAGTTAACATTTGTACCATAAATTAATGCGACTAACTGATAAAAACTAAGTTAAACAATCAAATCAAATGGCTTTATACCGTCACGTTGGCAAGTAAAAAAACTGGAAAAAAAGCGTGCAACTCCGAAACATTGCTTTATTCTTTTAACAATTTTTAAATTTCCTCATTATAATCTACATTAGACGGCATTGCGTGTCTGTTGATTATTCTTGTTATACTCCAAAAGTCTTACGAAAAAGTCATTAACTATCTTTAGACAATAAAAAAAAAAAAAAAAAAAAAAAAAAACACACACACTTCAAAAATTTTTAAACGCTTAATTTGATACAAGACATGAATTATTAAAAACTATTTCCGTTTCTTTCTAATTAAAAAAAAAAAATATGTATATGTATGAATCACCGGAAAATTCTCACCTTATCTTTGACACTTCGAAAGAAAGCCGAGCCTTCCTTGCGCATCGTGTAAGTCCACTCCCTGTACTGTTGCATAAATTTACTGCCCGACTTGTCCGAGTAATTGCAAGCTTCCATCTCAAACTCGTCTGAGAAGCCAAGACCCGAATTCAGCATATGCAGCCTCTCTTCAATAAACTGAAAAAAGTAATAAAGAGACGATGATAAGGATCCAGCGCTTGTTTGTCAAAGAAACCTTAGAAGCTATTGTTATCTGCTTTTGCAAATATAAAAGTATGTGCATGCGGTACGTGAAGTCTGTACGCTCTTGTATCTCTAAAGGTAGTGGGAGTCATTTTGGATTATGGAATGGTTAAACGTATAATAATCATATACTTGTTTATCACATGAAAAAAGGTGGTTTGAAAAAAAATTTTTTTTTTCTTGCCCCAAACAGGATGTTTTACAATGGTAAAGCTACCTAAAACTCTCAATTGAACTGAACTGTGTGGCGCTTATCCGTTTGTTTTATTCACCTTAAGACAGCCGGCTCTCGGCGCGGTGTTGCGATTTTTTTCTTTACACCTCTGCAAATATTTAACTCCAAGTGTCAACGTTTTTTAAGTATTGAAGAATTAAGTACAGTGACGTTTCGTATGCAAATTTATCAAATTGAGTACTTTAAAAGAAAACATGTATTTCTCGATCAGTCAATAGACGCGAAAAGTTTCAGCTCAGTACGAATCAAGTTTCAAATTTTCAAACGTAACAAAAATTAAATTTTTCAAATTTTTACCTGTTGAAAAATCTGCAACTCGAGCATTTTCCTCAAAAAGGGTTGCATGGAGAGCGGCCGGCTTTCAACAAATGCTTCCTGATCAAAGGTGATGCGCACGTGGTCGTCGTGCTGGCCTTGCTGTAAAGTGAGGGCTTCCCGATAGCCGGCCGTTAATTGAACTAATGCACGCAAAAACGCCCTGGATACACCGTCGCCGAGCAGCGCTGGTCCGTTGCGCAACGCTCGCCGAAGATTCGTCACCTGCGTTCACGAGACAACGTGTGTGAAAGTATTTCGTTAATTGGCCTAAGAGAATCATGTTTTTTTTTTCCAAGAGCTTAAAATCACACACACTTCAATTATATATTTTACGTACCACATCTTGAGGTAAAGATTCCAAGTCTTGGAAAGGAGATTCGATGGTGTTATCATCCGCATTGAGAATAACAACCTCGCCCAAATCACTTTGTCGCACTCGCTAAAAACAAATTGATTACTTAAAAATTATCAATGAAACACGTAAATTTTTGCTCTGTTGACGAAGAAAATAAAACAAAAATGTTTTTTTTTTGAATTGTCAAGTTTGTAAAACATTTATGTATAAAAAAAAAAAGTACCTCGAGTATGGGCAGGAGTACCCCTATGAGAAAAGGCATAGGTGCTAATAAATAATCCGTTAATGAATGAGGTAGGACCGGTATGTATATGTGCTGCCAGATCATTGGGTAGATTAAAGCGTTGCAGGCCTGCACACACGCGCTCAATCTCGACAACCTTTTCGACGTGAATATAATGCGCCTTTCATACAACATAGAGGCAAAAACCATCATCATATTATGGGAATCAACAGCGCTGAAATACTCCGTCAGATTACGCTGTAAATCAAATTATTTTTTTAGTGTCTTGACGTTTTCATTTACAAATATCTCTAACTTGTTTTTGTTTCTAAAAATAGAATCTGTTGTACTATTTTTTTTTGTATATGTGTGTGTGTGTGTGTGTGTGTGTTTTTTGTTTTTCTAATAATAATACTTACGTTCTCAGGAATACTTGGCAATTGGAATTGATTTGGCCTTTGTAAAACGAATATCTAAAATTTTGTAATTTGAGTTTAACTGAAGATAAGTAACATTAGATAACTCGTTATTACATGAAAAATTATTTTATGCACTTACAGTCTTAGAATCTGGCAATGGAATACTGACTGAAGCCCCAGGAACTGGAAGCGTAGCCTCATAAACATCTCCAAGAAATTTTAATAAATCTCCTGCGTTACTACTAGCTGTCAGAGTAGCTATGTGATTTAATAATCTACGAAGGAATTTATAATAAATTAAGAAAGTGACAGACAAAAAAAGACTATCACATTTATAAATAACTCTTTTGTATCATACTTATAAAAGGTTTCATGCCACGGTAAAGCACTAAGAATAACTAAAGCTGTCTCTGTCTTTGGATCATGCCTACAAAATCCAAATGTCCATTTTGAATCTACACTTGTGAGTACAAATGAAAAGTGCTGTATTGTGACACTAAAAAGAGATAATAGTAATTAATTATGAATAATGTTGGTTTTTTATAGTTAAGTTGGTTTAAATAGTTTTAAAGTCAAAGTTACTTTTGAATTTCACATGGATACGCAAATTTAGGAACAGATTTGAGTACCTCTGAATCGTTATAAGATTCAGGGTACCTTTGGAGAATCCATGGCTGTTTTTCTCCATTTGGCTGAGCTACTTCGCAAAAACACTCAAATAACTGCTTCACATTTTCTCTAAAAAAAAAAAAAAAAAAAAAAAAATTACAGCTTGGTGTTGAAAAATTCCTTAACAAAAGACTCTTAACCTCTAGAAATTTTTTCTCAAGCTACTAATGTTTATTATTATCACAGATAACAATTTATTATTGTATTTTGTACTACGACAAAAAAATCTGTTGACCAATATTTTTCCATCATCGTGTCCATAATCAGAAATAGTTTCTAATGTTTGCGCAAGCATTCCATTTCCATATTTGCAATCTAGTAGCACGCTAAATGACTTTATAATTAGATCCGTGATTTTTCAATCTCTGCTGTAACAATTCTTTGGGAATAAAAACTACTCAATTTTATATTTTACAATAAACTAATAACGGCTTTCAACAGCTGAATTTACATGTTATTAAGTAATTATTTGGAAATATCATTGGTATCAAACATTTTAGAAAAATTAAAAAAAAAAAGTCAAATGCTCCACAATCAGGTAGGCGTAAGCAAACAAATATAACGCAATTGAATCATGAACGTGTAATCATAAGTACACCTTATACTGTAACTAAATCATTACAAGATAAACTCACCTCAGTCTGGAGCCCATGGCTATGTTTTTGATAGATCAGTGATGTCCTAGTGCAGCGACAATAACAACAACAACAACAACGATCTAAAATCTTCGTCCAGCTCCTCATGGTCCTGCTGCAGCAGCTGCTGTATCGTGTTCAGCAGCAGCAGCATCTCAGTCGCAGAAGCATTGGCTTAACGTAGTGCAGCTGCTGTATAAGTGCAAACTGTTGCCAGTAGTTGTCATTGAATTCATAGCATTCCACGTTTATTTTAAAGCACATTTAAAATGCTGCAGGGATGCAGCCCAGGATGTAAAGCCACTTACACGTATAAATAGGAATATATACTTATTTACTTATTCTTTGTACACGTACAACCAACACATTCACGCTTAGCTGCGCTGTTTTTCTTTCTTTATTGTGTACTGAAACTGACACTCTAGTGCACGGGTATTGTGTTAAAGATATACCCGCAGACGTAAGAGACAAGAGAGGCCCAAGAGAACACATCAGAACACACGCACCGGAGCAGAGGCAGACTGATGATTGCTGACTGCACGCATGATGACGACGACCCTCTGCACTCTCTTTTTTGAGAGAAAAGCGAAAGAGAAGAGAGAGAGAGATTGAGGGATATCTATGTTGTTGTGTGTATAGGTCTGTTATTAGGTGGGATTGCGGGGGAGATACATGTATGTACAGATGGGATGAAGGAAAGAGTCTTTTTTTTTTTGATTGCCTATGCTCTCTGCCTTCCTTTTATTTGTCTCTTTTTGTCCTCTTATCCAACTTAAATTTTTACAAGTACTAGGTACTTATATAGGTGGGGACAAAATACGCATGCCATGATGCTTTTTTTAGAGACAGACAATGATGAGTCATTATTTTTCTCTTCTCCTCTCGAGGTGGGTGGAAGTTTTATGGATGTTTGACCATCTCCTCATTAAGAGACTCTTAGTCTTAACGAGCTATTTATCTTTTTCCTAAAGCTACACTTAGATTGTTGATGAATACAACGAGTTGCGTTTCACTGCTCTCTTATTTACTCTAAAAAAATTATTTTTAAGTTAAAACTCATACACCACAACAAAGTATAGCAGACGCATAAGCATTAGAGTACTACAGTACTACTATACTACTTAGTTATACTTACTAGTTACTGTAAGTTACTACCAGTTACAACTTATATACTCAGGTTCAGGGTTCAGTATAGAATAGCACTTATAACAGTAGCAGACAATTTAAAACACACACACACACAGAGTACAGTTATATGGCACCATCAGCTGATAAAGTTGTGACGTCACAGAGGTTAGGTATGAATGAAGCTATAAATCGGCCTTTTAAAAAAAATTTCGTTTTTTTTTTACGCCTTGTGATGTAAGCTATTATTCACACATTTTGGGTTATTATAATATAAGTTAAAAATCGTCGAAATAGTTTACTCATGTGCATATACTTGATTTTAATAACTTAAGGTGCAGGACTGTTGCATTTTTTTTTTTTTTTTTTTCACAAACTTCCCAATTACGTTTTTTTCTCCGTTAAGTATTTAACAAATCCATTGAACATGACCGTGACTAAATACCCGAGTATTCAGGTCGACGGTTTTGGCTTCATGCCCGGCGATTACCGACAAGTCGTGCGAAGGTATATATATACATATATACACTTATACGATGTATATATCACTATTTATACTTTCCAGAATCGTGTTAAAATGTTTAAAAATGCATTTACGTTAATTCTAAGAATTGGCGACAAAAAAAAACCGTATTCTGTATACTTGTAATAAAATTATTGCAATTAGTAAAATCATCGCTTTGATTCGCACTAAACAGGTACACGATTACAAACAGAAATAACGCGACAGTCCGTCTGATAAGCTTGGGAGCCGGTATACAATCGGTAAAGGTTCCAAACAATAACAACGATTTAGCCGACGTTGTCTTGGGTTTCGACGATCTATCAGGTTTGTGTGCATACGAAAAATAAATAATCCTTATACAACAGTGTAATTTGCGTTTAAACGACTGATTATTATAGGATACCTGCAAAATCGCTACATCGGTAGGATAATCAACCGATCGTACGATCCATTCGCAAGAAGTTCACCGGCTACCAATTGTAGCGTAAACATCGACGATTCCTCAAACACCGACATCGTCAACTGGGACTCTTACGTTTCAGACGATCGCGTGGTATATTTTATCATTATATATGTGCCGATTTCTGTGAAATAACAAATTTTCACACAGGATACAAGTACGTATAGGTGATGACTCGAGTGAGTAGCATTGAGAACGGCTACCTCATGGTCCAGGTGTCGTACGGGCCCTGGAGCAACGAAAACCGGCTGCACGTCGAGATCCGGGCGACGAGCACGAGACCCGTGGCTGTGGACATCGTCAGCTACTGTCTTTTTAATCTTGCTGGACACGTAAGGATAGTCTAAGGGCATAATTTTCTAGATTTTTTAGTTTCTTTTTTAACGAACGATATGTGCCCCCATTTAGGGCATGGGTCCGAGAGAACTGAAGAGCCACGTTGTGACAATAAACGCCAACAAGCGACTGGAGCTCGAAGGAGACGTCGCAGGCAAGGTAGACGCTGTGAACGAGCTGCGTTCGCCGACTCGTTTGTGCTCCAGATTGTTGTTCCAGGTGCCCGGGGGTGGTTACAATCACAATTTCTGCGTCGTTGATTACAGCAGTGCGTGGTCGTACAGATTTCACGCGAGGTATACGAGTGTCTGAATCCTTTCATCTACCTTGAACTTGATTTCTCTTTATGTTTTTCTATTCATTGGGCATAAGAATTTTGCATCCGGCGAGTGGTCGGTTCTTGGAAGTTTACTCGAACCATCCGTCTGTGCGGTTGTACACGGGGAATCACTTGCCGGATCCTGAGAAAATCAATGTGACGGAACTTGACAAGGTAAGGGTGTGTTTTAAGATTTATAAAGAAAACTCTCTGGGCTTGCATTTTTTTTTTTTTTAGAAGTGTAAAAAGAATACGATATCGAAACATACAAGAGGACTGATGGGCAAAGACGGTGCATTGTACACGAGACACGGGTGCTTTGCACTGGTACCACAAGGATACCCGGAATCGTTTAGCTGTCAAAACTGTCCCTCCAATATACTCTATCCTGGCAAAATTTACGTGCACGATTTATCGTACGATTTTGGAGTGGCTATATGATTTTCAGTTGGTTTGGTGAATTGAACGCCAAACTAGAACTGCGCAAGGTTGAGTTGAAATCGGTGTTGTTTATTAAATCAAGTTACATAAGTAATTATTGTGAAAATTTCGCAATAACTTCGAGTAAAAATCTATTTCAGTTGACAACTTACTACACGTCATGAGATCACAGAGATTAAAAATAAGCACAGCCATCAAAAATACACATGTACCAGGGAATGCGAATAAAAAAAACGGCGCATATTTGATTTGCTGCAATAAAAACTCGAGAATCGTACAAAAAAAAGTAGTCAGTTTATTGTACAACCATTTGAATTCAGCAATTTCAATAGACCCACCCAAAATTGTTCTCAAAAACAACGAGAACAGATATTAAACTAATTGTTTACAAATTGCGATACACTCGGCATTCGCATAAATACCTCTAGCTGTACAACATTATAAAATCATGCAATCTATAAATTCCTCTCTATCGCATGACTTAGAAATATTCGTTTGAATACAAATATCTATCATTGCTTCTCTGGCTCTTTTCTCTTCTCTTTAGGCGTCAACGATTCAACCTCTGGCTTTTTTTGATCAGTCTTGGTAGCTGGGACAACAACAGTAGAAGCAACAGCAGCAATGTTAGTACCAGGAATAATAACAATGCTCTGCGGCTTGTCCGCGTCTCTTGACCACGAGCAGCTTCTGCTTCTCGCCGACTTGGGCAGTGACCACGAGCGACTGCGCGACTTGCGCTTTTTCGGCGACGTGCTGCGCGACTTTGCCCTCGTCACCCGGACTTGAGACTCAGCCCTACTCCTCTCTTGAACGCTTCGCTTTCTCGGCTTCTTGCGAGGTGATGTTGATCGAGCTCGTGATCTGTTGCTGCCGTTTCTTGTTCTCGAGCGTGAGAACGATCTCGATCGTGTACGTCGTGTCGAGTGAGAACGTCGCCTTGAACGAGATCTTGATTTTTTTCTAGGATTCGAAAGCTTATCTTTCCTCGATTTTGACCTGCTGCGGCTCCTACTCCGTTGCCTGCGAGTCTTGGATCTCGACCGCGACCTCCCCCTTGATCTTGGTATCGACCTTCTGTGACTCCTGGATCGTGAACGCGATCGCGAGCGGCTCCTGTCAGAGCCACTACCGGGAAGAAAAGCGTGATAGTCTTGGCCCACGAGACTTGCAAAATATTTGTAGTATTGTTCGTTCAGTTCTTGAGGATCGTACTGAGGAAAAGATGCCCCAGGGGCGTTGCGCCAGCGGCCGCGACCCCGGTTGCCTCGACGACCGCCCCTCGGAAAACCACGTACCGGAGGATAAAGCAGAGGTACAGCTGAATTGTAGTACCAAGCAGCCTGGGGTGGCAATCTTGGGTATACTTCTGTACCTAAAGGAGAATCAATGTATGAACACCTGGTGTGAAAATATATGTTTATTTTAATAAGTCAAAGTATGATACCTTTGTTGATATCGAGACCTTTGCTGGTGGAACTTTTATTTTTCTTTTCCTCTGTACCAGAGTCATCGGATTTATCTGACAATTTCTAAAAATGAGGTAATAAAATTGGCGACTGTATCCTATAAAAACGTAATTATTTGAGCATTATTGAAAACTCACTTTTTTCTTTCTCTCTTTTTTCTTTTTTTTAACTTTTGCTTTGTCTTTTTTGACTTTCTTTTTCGAATCATTTACACTTCCTTTGGAAGCATCATCTGTTTTTACCTCCGCTTTTTCATCTTTTTTTTCATCTTTTACTTTGATATTTATTTCATTCTTCTCTACCTTAATCTGTAAGGTAAAATCGACATGATGAAATTTTGATTAGATCAATCCGTTAAATCAATAAAAAGCTTACCCTTATTTTTTCAAACAACGCATCCAACAATCTTATACTCTCCAACTGTCTTTGAGCTTTGACAAGTTTTCTCTCTTCTCTGGCAATTTTCATTGAAACTTTATCCTCTTCTTGTTTGCGATAAACTGTCAATGCTTTCCGTTTCCGTTTTTCCTCTCTATTTCGACGTCTGGATTCTTTTTCTTTCTCATCTTTTTCTTCCTTTTTTCTGTAAAAAGAATAAAATTAAAAATTTTCAGATAAAAACATGGCTCAATGATTTAAGTAAACAAACGTACTTTAATTCTTCTTTTCTCTTAGCTTCAGCTTCTTCTTTTCTGCGCAATTTTTCAGCTGCCAAGTTATCTTGTGCTACGAGCCGTTTTCTTTCAAACTCTCTATGCGATACAGAATTATCACTCATGTGTTTCGTTTTGTCGAAATCAACCTAAATCATTATTTGAGGGTTTTTTTTTATTATATGGAAGAAAACACGCAACCAACACACAAATATAACCGTCTTTTTACCTTTATGGCAGCTATCAAGTGCTTTTCCTTCTCCTTTTTCAGTAGCTTCATTCCCCTGAGCACATCCATACATTTGACAAAATCCATGTACTCATTATATTGGACAAACGCATCAAAAAAGATGCCATCTGCATAACTAAACTTTTGTATGGTTGTATTCAGCCTCATCCTGGATCTGTACGGATCCGCAGCCGGCACGTCTACTCGTTTGACATTGCCCCATCTCTTGAAAATTTTAGCTATAAGGGATTCGCTTGGAGTTTTACCGCCATCATCGCTAAACCATTTGACAGGAAGACCAGATATGTGTATTGTGTCAGGGCGCTCGCCTGCTTTCAGCTCGTTCATGTGCTTGGCATCGCGGAAGTACGAATCCCAGGAGTGTCTTGTCGGAAAGCCATCCTTTGCCTCGGCAGCTTTCACCTGTGCACAAGAGAAAAATTAACGTTTTTTTTTTTTTTTTTTTTTTTTTTTTTACCATTTTTCACCACGTAAGAGTGCATCTTTTGAAATACCACAATTAGACACGTAAGTAGTTACGATTTCGTCTCACAATCAGTTCGAGTTAGAANTTTTTTTTTTTTTTTCTACAAAGCTAATAAGTGTAATTCTTAACGTTACATACTTTTAATACGGTTGGAAAGCCTGCCAGATTCAAGCGCTGCGCATCGAGTCTTGCCAGCACTTGCTGAAGTCTTGATTTGTCGCCCAGGTCGGCCTCGAATCTGATGAATTCGAGGCTGCTCTTGACAACCTTTATCGAGGCAAATTCGTCGGGCCTGATCAGCAAACGCAGCTTCTCTTGCACCTCCCATGTTGATATAGTTTTTCCTGTTTATAGTGTAGTAATGCTACTCTGTAAAATCTTTGCGCCTACTGGATTGAACATTTAATTTTCAAAGTCAAGACTGCGTTGCAATCCTTCATTAGCTATTCGATTTTTTAGAAACAAATCTTCAAGTGATGAGTATAGCAACGTAATCCAGATTTTGCCAGTCTCCATCTCCAGTAAAGACTTTAGTCATGGGTTTTTAGGATAGAAGATCTTACGATAGCTACTAAATGGAAATATATGCATCAATTTTCAAATATATAGTGTGCTACTTGAAAGTGCTCAAGTGGGCACGCTATAAAAATAAAATCATCATTAGTCATTTCAATTGAGTGATAAATGTTGTAATTATATCGAAAGGAAAAAAAAAAATTTAAGATAAAATTGATAAACATGTAGAAACAAACGCCATGAGCTACTTTAGAAGGCATTGCGTCAGGAAGCATCTGGAGTCCGGTTTACCTGGAGTCTTCAGTTGCGGCAGACTAATCGACACATTGATCCTGGCTACAGGCTTAAGGTAGATACCACAAGCTGCGTAGAATGGCACCGTGTCGCTGAGATCCCTACAGCTCCGAAACCCATTAACAACCTCTCCACTGGGAGTTGTTTCACCTACTTTGCTTTTTGCGTTTATGTCACTCATCATCGCATGTTATTACTATTGTTGTTATACAGTGCTAGCTCTCTCTCTCTGTTTCCGTGAACCTAACTGTATTGTAACACCAATTTTTTTTTTTTTTTTTCTTTACCCTCGACGTGAAAACACGTCCTTGTCAAAAGAGACCTGGGAGCAATTTAATTTGAAACAAAGGAAAAAAAAGAAAAATAAACAAAAATACAGTGGCGAGAAATCGCAGTAGAGAGGTTGTTAAGTGCTGATTGTTGGGGTTAGGGTTCTGAACGGGGCGGCCTCCGTCATCGCCTTGGCCTCTATTTGTCGTTCTTGTGGCCGAGATGGATCTTACTTCTACTTGGATCTTGGATCCTCTTGTTTTTGACGAAGAATTCAAAGATAAAGCGAAGACTTTTCAGTGAAGTAAAACGTAAATAAGTATGTTGACGATGGACGACAGAGATTCTGCTCCTACTACCTTCTGTTAGTTTGACGTCTCTCTCTCGCAGTAGCTTTACACAACACACATTAACACATATATATATACATACACATCGCTGTCACCCCCCCCCCCC